TTTTCATATGTCTATAATTTTTCTTTGTTTTATTCTTCATTTTGAGCTTATATATATATATATATAAATAATACTGCCTTGATTTTTCCATCTGTATAAATGTTTTGTTCAAATATATCATTTTATTTCAATTGTTCCTATCCTATCCTGTTCATTCATTTTTTTCTTTCAGGGACTGCTTTTACTGCTGAGTGGAGTCAAGTTTACATCAAAGACAGAATAAATGGTATTTTTTTTGTTCACCTTTACTTATTTAGAACAATAAAAGACTTGTCTTTCTGCTGAATTCACAATTGGTATATAAAGTTTATGCAATTAAAATGAAAATACACATTTGAATGAAATTTATTAACTTTAATTTATCAATAATTATGTTCTGAATTAAAATGAAAATACACATTTGAATAAAATTTATTAATTTATCAATAATTATGTTCTGGTGGTAAAATTTTTTGTGTAAATTTTTTTAGTTAAACCATAGCAGATATTAATTGATAATACATTCATTATGATGATCATTAAAATTATGAAACTTGTTTTGGCACTTTGATTAAAATGATTATGTCTACTGTGGTTACATTATTTGACAGGGTGCATGTTCTTTATAAAAGTGCTTAAAGATGCTTATTTTCGTTTTTTAAAAGTCTTTAAATGTGCTTTTTTTCATTGGTTGCTTTTGAAAAGTGCTTTTAGACTAGAGATAAAGCTTTTAGGTTTCAAACTCACTTTACACTACCTTGCCATTCTGATGTGCTCTTAGTTTTAACAAGTGTTACTGAACATGCCTGTTAACTGTTGAGTCGCCATATTCTGCAATGAACATTTATCTATGCTTGTCATTGCGAACAGTGATTATCTAAAAATTAGTGTCGATTCCACTGCATTCTATTAATTTAAATGTTCTAATCTACGAAATCTTATTTTTCTGCCTCTCCTGTCTTAGTGATTTGTGGGATGTGTCACAAATGCTTGAAAGTTACTTAAATTAATGTATTTTTTCATTATATATGTATTAAATATCCAATTTCTTAATAAATGATAATGAAAAAATCTCCGACTATTAGAGTATGTTAAGCAATAACTGATATTTAAGAATTCTTTGCTAAAATATTTCTGGCAATTATGGGTTCAAAATAAAAATAGAACTTATAGGAGCCACCTGTATGTTATCCCCCAACCCTGTCCTAGCACCTAGCCCAATTTTTTAGGGCTCTAACTTGCATGCTGTAGTATGGGAAGTAGTGAATCAGCTTTGTGTTTTTGTTTTAAACTCTACTTAAATATTGGGTGCCATCTACGATTATTTAAAGTGCTGTGGTGAGCAGGTTTTCCAGAGCCTTGGCTTACAGTATTTTTTTTTTATAAATCTAATTAAAATTATTGGTAATGAATAAAACATATTGAAATTTATTTGTGAAGTGAATAAATTGCAACACCCCAAATATACTATGAGACAGCTTTAGAGTCTTCTACCCTCGCCATCTTGAAAAAATTAGGTTAAATTTTTAATTTGTGTTTTCTTGATATTTTTTGTACTACACAAGCATTTGATAATATATTATTTTTAGGCAGCTCAAAAAAAGGTAGAAAATAAAGCTATTCCTTTATTAGATTCAGAGAAATGGCGCTTAATAATTTTTAGAATTTTTCCTCTAAATTTTAAAGCAATTAAATAATGCAATTTGCGGTTTTGAGTAAGTAATTTAAAACAACCGTTTATCTGTATTTAGATTTCTTGAAATTTAATTTCATTACAGTTTAAACTAATTTAAGCCAATTTATATGAGGCTAAATATTTTTTTAACACAATTAAATAAAAACAAAGATACTTATCAAAAATCTGAAAACAGGCAACTTTATACTCGTTAACTACCTATTAAATTGACTGCAGAATTTTATCCATATAATTTTTTGGAAAAAATTAGTAAAAAATTCATAATATTTCAAATTGTGATTGTGTGGCAGCTGTACATTTTATATGTATTGAAAGAAACTGCCTAATAGAACAAATATCCATTATCAGTTTATTTGTATAAAAATTAAATGATTAAGATTTAAAACAGATTTAGAATTTCCCTCCCCGTCTCCACCCTTTTGATAGTCAAATCCTGTCGGAAGAGGAAGGGCCTATTGCGTTTTTCTAAATATCAATTTAATCTGTTATTTAGCAATGCAATAGTAGGAATATTGTTAGCATGTTGATGTTCATTTCTATTTTTCATCTCAGATGGAGCTTTTACGTTTCAAGTCACTCTCTTCACTAGTGGAGACATCCTATTTGCCTATAAAGAGGTACTTTTTAAAAAAAAATTCAAATGTTTAGTGAATATTGTTAAAGTAATTTCAGAAGATGATTTGTCAATGATTGTTGCAGGTGCCTTATTCTATATCCAACATATCCGACGCTAGTCATCCTGTCAAAATAGGTATATCAGATGCCTATGTTTTAGAAAGATCTTTATTTTGTGAGTATTCCCTTCAATAAATCTTAAAGAGCCACTTTAAAAGAAAAAAAAATGTTATTTTACTATTGAGCTGTTTAGAAGTAATCATTATAAATAGTCATTTTTTAAAAAGGAATTATTACAATAATTGATTTTCTTTGTTATGTTTTTAAACAGGATTTCCATTTTGAACAATTTATGTGTTTTTTGATGACTATTTATCTTAATGATATTTTAGGAAGATATTGTTAAAAGTGCTACTTTTCTGAAATTTTCTTTGCAGTTTGTTTGAATCATTGATTTGATTGTTTATTTAAATGAAGTAAAATTTATTAATTAATTAGATTTCACGTTTGTTTATTAATATAGTTGTACGAAGAAAGACTATTTATGAGTATCACAAGATTGATATGCTGAAGAAGAATATTAGTAGTAATACAGCACTTTATTTGAAAGCTTTACCGAGTAAGTTTGTACATTAACATGGCCTACATATAAATAAAATTTTGTTCTGAGTAATGAATGAATAGGTCTGTTTTATGCGTCTATGGGTATAATATTTAATGCTCTTTGTATTCCTTGACTGACACAGAACTGAACATTTTATAGAAGTAACAAATAATTTATTATTTTTTTATTAAGAAAAGTTAAAAGCTTTTAAGAAAAACTCTTTCATCACTTCGACGGATGAGTGACACCCCAGCCTTTACGCTCAGAATTTTTTTTAAAAGATCGTTCCCAAGCATAACACTATCCCTCGGAATTATCCATTGTTCAGACTTATTTTGTTTCTGTCTTTTATACATCTTACAAAAACGAGACTCAGCATTTTTGCTGTTGAAATTATGTAACTTATTATTCTTGACTAGTAAATTGCAGTGAAAGCATTGTTTCTCTTTTCTTAGACATTTATTACAAAATCGTAAGTACTTTTAAATATCCGTTTATTTTAAGTAATGGTTTAACTTTTTTTTTTTAAACAATTGTTTGAGAATTTTCACTGTATGTATGCACATGCAAATTTTCAAAGTATTTTAAAATCATTTTCGATCAGCTTGTTCCTCTTCATATTTATTTTAAAAATTTATTTTTTTAAATGCTGTTGAGATTTTTAAAAATATGCTGCACAAAATTTCAAAGCAGTGGTTGGATTACATGATATTTTTTAGCCCTTCTATTTCTCCATCTTAAAACTAGTCTGTATGTATTGCTCTAGAAAATGTCCCAAATTTTTTTAAATGTTGACCTGATTAGGATCAGCTACAAAACCTGCTTTATCTTAAGTGTGATTTTTTTAAACTTATTTATGCATAATTTTATTGGTATTGTATACCTACTTAGAACTGTGTAGTACATACACCTTAAAATGGTGTTAATTTGAATTTTATAATCTCTAACTGTATATATATATCTGTTATTTTACCTCTGATTACTGATAATGAGTTTTGAAAATTGTACTCTGTACATCAAACCATTACAAAGGTCTACTGACAAAAAAAAAGAAAAAGCTCAACTCTTATTTCAACTAGAGTAAATAGGAGTTATGAAAAATAAGCCCTTTTTAAACATTTTCTAGTTCATTTTTTACACATTCTATCTTTTAAAATTTTGATTGATTCTAATTTCATGTGTACCTAGTTTAATGTGTGAAGTTGGCAAACTGTACTAAAAGAATATCTGAGTTGTTTCTTGTTTTATATAACATGCTAAAATATATATCATAGGTATCTTCGATTCTTTTAATCCTTTCGCGACTAGTTTTTTTTTTTTACAACAGAACAATTTTGGTAGCATAAACTATGAGTAGGGCAGCATTATGGACAATAGTGTCATCTATGTTTTGTGAATGAAAATACCTTCAAAAATATTGGCAGGACTGGTGGGAAAGTCTCCCATTAGACAGAGAAGCGTTTCTGTCCCAAAAGATTTTTTTGAAATTTGCTTGGGACGTATGTGGCCCTTTAGGCGCGAAAGGGTTAACGAAGTAATAAGTCCCCTAAACATATTTCAAGAAAAGTTTTTAAAAAAATGTGTTGTCATGTTAAAGAATTTATAAATTTTCTTAATACTTGATTGCTTTTTTTTCTTCTTTCTATTCTGTTCCAAGTGATGTACTATCATAAATTCAGCCCTACTTAAATCTTCTCTCTTTTCTTCCATTTCTATAATTCTTTTGTCATCTGAAGTAAATTCCATTGCACTTCTATATGTTTCAAGAAGAAATTCCAAATCCTAATTACTGGTATAATAGAAACTCTTATAATTAAATGAAATGAATGAATGTATTTAAATACTCTTGTGCTGCATAGAATTTAATGATTTGAGGTCAGTAACAAATATTTTGTAATTGTTAAAAACATCCTTAAAGTAATCTTTTTTCAACCTATTTACAAACATTTGGCTATCATGACTTTCCTCTGAAAAAGTCTGGTCCTAATTACTTTGAAAAAATACAGACCCTATTGTATACCATTCCACTTTATAATTTCCTTTATCTTCCATTCATAATTTTTATATGGGTTTGATTAATGTTTCGTTTTCTCGATGTTCATTTATCTCTTTATGTTTTGTCACATGTCAATAATATTCAATAATTGTATGTTTATTGTCAGCATGCATTAGCTACAAAGACTGCAACAGCTGCCTGTCTGTGCATCGGGATATAGATTGCGTATGGTGCAAAGCGGTCAACCGATGCTCCAGTGGCATTGATAGATTGAGGCAGAGCTGGATCACTAATGGCTGCTCGCTTCAAGTAAGAGAGTACCTTGTTTTGAATAATTTCAAAAATGAATTTTTAACTCTATAATTAAGTTTTTATCATTCATACATTAAGGTTGATGCAACATGTCCTCCATCACCCCCCTCAACCACAACAGGTGAGCCACTTTATGTTTCTCAATTGTGGTAACAGTTCAGAATAAAGGAGCTTTAAGTTTGTTATAATATTACAATGTTGCTATATATTGACAAAAAAAGAAAAAATCTAAATGTGCTTTATCTGTATCCTATCTGAGTAAAATATAAAATTAGTCAAAGTAAGGGAGTTTTTCTATTTATAGTTTTTATCTTTCTTTTTTTTAAAAAAAGAATTTAAAGAATTAAAGTTCCTATGCTAGCTTTTTTTTGCTCCAATCTGTTTTTTCTTTTCTTTATTTCCACAAATCCAATAAATTAAAAAAAAAAGAAGGGAAAACTTTTTTATATTTTTTTATAAAAATGTTTCTGTTTTGAGTTTAATTGCTAATGTGTGTCAGTTACTTTAAACAAATATAAATATGTAATTTTTGAATGTTTACTGCAGTATGCCTCAGCAACTGCATATATTTCCCTTCCCCCATTGTCTTCAGACAATGAGGGAAGAGAAGTGTTCAGAGGGAAGAGTTCAGAGAGAAGTGAAGTGATTTAAAGGGTATAACTTTGTTCCTCTTTCTTGAAGTTCACTTCCTGTCTGACAAGTGAACACATTATGGGATAATTTCATTTTTTACACTGTATAAGTTTTCTTTGTATCTTAATCCTAATGTGATTATTAAATTTAAGAAAACCTAATTTCTCTTTTTATTAATTCAAACTTTAGCAAGTAAAATTTATTTTTACTAGATTAATTAATTTTATATGATCAACTAATTTAACTTATAGCACACCACGTGCCTTATTTTTTTTAATCAAAAATATCTATATACAATAAATTAATGTTAGCATATTGAAGGTTCAATCATGTTTCTAAAAATGCTTAAAATAAAATAGAGTACCACCAAATCCATGTCCTAATGGCTTTTAAAATTAAAATAATTTAATAATTGAACTAGTTAAGATAGAGAAACTTTTTGTTTCATCTTAAGAATCATAATGATTGCTACAAATTAAAGCATGAATGTTGTTTTTCGAAATTTTGTGCTTTTTTTTTAGTTTTTTGGATTTTTTTTTAAAAATCAGTATAAGCAAATTTATGTTTGTAATTTATACGTGATAAGTTTTTAGTCGTAATGGCATTATAGTAATATTTACATAGTGCATTTTGTACGTAAATCTAAAACAGACAATATTTTAACAAAAAATATTCAAAATTCATTTTTAATATTTTTCTTGTCTCTTTTATTCAGTGCTGCAATATGTTAATTAGCATATTGTAAAAATTAAAGCTCCATTATGTTCGAATATAGTAAAAAATATTTTTTTTTCTAAACCATTAGAATTAAAACATGTTTTTACTGTTTTAAATGCCACCTATTTGCAATTATTATTTCTTTTTGTCATTCATTATTTTCATATTAAAATTTGTGTTGATTCAATGGATATAAAATCAAATGAAATTTAAAAATTTTATTTGTACTAGTGGTATAAATTGTATTCTGCTTAATAAGGATACTCATGTAAATAATGCTAAAATTTTTGTATTGCAGGTATCATGTGGGAAAATCAATCTTTTACTTTTTTTACAAATATAACATTTGGATGTAGTGTTTATTTGAATGTTAAGTGGAGTAATATATAAGCATATATATTCAGTTTTTTTTCTCCTTAATTATGTTTGCATATTAATTAATGAAAAAAAGTGGTAGTTATTGCTTTCAATTTGAGGTTTAAAATATTATTTTGACCTATTGTTTAAAAAAAAGCCCAGGTATTTTGGATTTTTATCCAGGCCTGATGTAAATACAACAAATATTTATAAACTTCATTGTATTTTATCAGGAACTTGTTCTTGTAGTTTTATTCTGTGTGAGAAATATTCTCAAATAGTTAAAAAAAGGGGGTCATTGTCATATTCAAATATTTTTGCCAATCTATTAGATGATTATAATACTTTTCTCAATCTAGATGCATCCAAATTAGTGACATCTTTCGATAAAGGATATTCTGTTGTTGAAACCTCAACGAACCATTTAGATAAATCATCTGATGCCAAACATTTTTCAACTTATGATATTGATTTTCCCAGTAAAGGAGAAGTGAAAGAGGCTGCTCACTACATGCAAGGTACACTTTAAAAATCCTATCTGGCTATGCCCTTCCAACAAGGTTAATAGGTATTGAAAAGTATCAAACCTAGAAAACGCTTGTCTAATTAAATTCCACTGATTAAACTAAAATTACCATGCAAATTTTTGCAAATCTGCAGCTTTAAATTAATATTTCAATATTGTTTAATGATGAATTATTTTCTTTTTACACGCTGTGCTTAATCCTGAGAATTTGCGACAATATATCAACATATTTAGTTGATTTGTATTATTTATTAAGACTATTTATTCGGCAAATTAATTCACACTCTTTAAACAAAAATTATGTAAAAATTACTGAGATATATTTTATGAATTGCAATTAAGAAAAAATCTATTTTTAAAATGACTACCCTTTAAATAATTGTTATCTAAGTCATTATTATTTTATTTATATTATATTGCAAAACATGCTATTCTCATTTTTAAAATGATCAGGATAAACATGTGTGTTTTAAAATTTTGCTTGTATGAGTCTGTGTTGTATCCCATCTAGCTGAGAGTTTGATGTTATTGTATAATTCTTTTTTCTTTAGAAGAGACAGAGACCAGTAGTAGTAGCATGAGCATTGGTGCCATAGTGACTATTGTTGTCTTTGTAGTTGTTCTCTTAGGTGCTTCAGGATGGACCTTTTATGCATACCGATTTCCACAAACACGCTCAGGACAATTTTTAATTAAGGTAAGAATGTTTTGAAATTCCTTGCTACACACTTATGTTCTACAGGCTTGGCACATTCCAAATGAAATCAACCAAAATAAAATTCATGAATATTCAGATTTTCATGAAAACTTTTTGTTGCAAAGGTCTTGATGAATAGTTTATTTCTTTTTATTATTTTTCTTAAATTACAGCAAATAGTTTATAATTGTAACTTTTAGTGATCACTCTAAAAGGATCTAAGAACTAAACTCAGTGGTGCGACTGCCCTAGAGGGCTAAGGCCTTCTGTGTCCACCCCAGTTTTCTTGATCTTGAGCTCTGGAACAGATGTTCCGGTTGGGTGGCCAGCCGAACGTGGAACTCTAAGTGTTTAGTCCCCAAGTGTTTTGTACTCATTTTATCGACCCACTGAAGGGATGAAAGGCTGAGTCAGCCTTGCCCAGCCTGAGGATAGAACCCAGGACCTATTGCATGAGAGCGCAAAGCACTCTGCCACCAGTTGTCTTAAAATTATCTAACTTATTATTTCTATTTCTTTGCTTAACTTAATATTAACATTCTTCCACATGGTCATAATTTATGTAGTGATAGTGTTTAGTAATAGTAGATAAATAAAACAACATTAAAATTACATGAAATCAATTACCTTCTTTTGATTCTTATTTTCACACAAACTTCATATTTATATTTCTGCTGAAAATGTTGGTGATGATTGTTGCTAAATATTTTAAAATTTAATTGTAGCCAATATTAATTTGCTACCCTACCTTTGATAGTTACTCAACGCATTTCTCTATTTAATATTCCACTATATATCATCCAAATCGTCAGGAATACCGTGACCAGGGTTTGAGCCCAGATCACTCCCATTCCTTATGTATTTGTGACAGTGTTTTGGAACGTTTTTAAAAATGTAATTTTAGGCACAAAATGGCATTGCATCTTAATAGGATTTGACATTTTATTTGAAATGAGAAACATATGACTCACACGCAGGTGATTTTTGATTATATAATTATGAGGAGAAAGGAATGTTTCTGACAGCTTTTTAAAATAAGCTCATGGTAGAGCTCTGATTCAAGCTATTAGAATAATTCAACATTAAAAAGTCTCTTACTTTGTTTTTTAACTTTTGGTAAATTATAAGGTTAATGAGTCAAATCTGCATTATTTCACAGTATTTTTAAGGATAGAAAAAATAAAAGTCAATAAATAGTAAATAAATCACGAAATTTTTTTAAAAATGTAATAAAATATGAAAAGATATAAGTAAATAAAGTACTTGAATAAAAAATCTCTGTAGTATGTGCCATTTATCTACTTTATAGTACATTGTTGAAGAACACATTCATATTTTCATGGATTTAGGCTTAACAGCAAAAAAACTTCTGGGCTGGGACGTTTGCTCGAAAAAAAAAGACTCCAGGTCACAGCACCTTAGCAACCCAATTGCAAAAGGATAAAAATTTTATATTGTAACAGGTTAAGTAAATTGAACCAGTCTGAAGGTATCACAAGTGTAAACAGAGTGCTTAGCTGGCAATAGACTTGCTGCATGGTATGAAAGAAAAGCTAAACAATCTTGAGCTTTAACATAGTCATTGCAAATAAATGACAAAGTTCCAATGAAAATGATAAATCTTTATTTTCTTGAAAAATAAATAATATATATATATATATATCTATATTCATTCTTGGATTTCCTTTTTTTTACTACTTTCATCCCTGAACAATGGGAGGACTTCACTTTAAGACTCTGTGTTCCAAAACGAATTCTCTATTAAAATAAGGGTTTCCTATAATAATGCTGTTAAAGTAAATCTTTATGGATTTCACGTTCTCAGCCAATTCTAATAATTTTTCTTTTGTAGTATCGTCCAACCCAGTGGACTCTGAGAAAGGATGATAATTCTTCAAGCTTGAGCTCCCGACATCTGGGGAGTTCGTAGGATACTGTTAAAATGTTGTTCTGTTTTCTGTAGTCAACTACTTTCATCAAATGGGTTGTAATTCTCTTTTTTTTGTAAATGATACATATATGTATTAGCTTTTACAAAATGCATCCAAATTGCATGTGAAAAATTTGTTTCAACAAAATATTGTTTAAAAATTTTTAATGAATGTTTTTAATGAATTTTTTTCAATCTTTGCTATTTATAAAAAAATGAGATTATTTTATGAAATAATAATTTTATTATCATTTAATTGTATCAAATTACTATTGATTTTAGTTATATTATCAAATTAGAAAAAAAAATTTCAAAATATATTTAATCTTTATTTTTTCTATAGTTATTCTAAAGAATCTCATTGGAATCTGAAATGTTTTTGTTTTTAATAACTTTTATTCTTCATTATAATCTTTTTTAATAGTGACATACGTAGGACACATCTTAGAAAAAAAATTTGCCGAATGAAAATTTATGCAGCTAAATAAAATTAGTTATTAACAGGGTTGGCACTTTGCCCAGTAGAAACCCATTTCTTTGAGAAAACTGGATGAAACGGAAGAAATTAAAAAAAATCCAATATAAATATTTTGAAGTTATGTAAAAATTGCTTCAATTCAAACATACTATAATACCTAAATATTAAGAGTTCTTTACATCTACTTATGAAAAATTTACATGATGTCCAGTATATACTTTAGTAGCATTAATAAAATTTTATAGTTATTTTAAAAGCTCTTCATAAAATTATAATAAGTGTTTTAGTATACTCATTTACATAAAATATTGTAAAATTACACTTATCCTAAATACATTAAATAAATTTTTTCCAATTATTATTTTTGCAAAATAGAAAATTTCAGTGGAATATGCAAAAACTTTTTACTTGGTGAAGTTTATTATCCTCCTCAGGAAAATTTTTAGTACACAAATTATTCAAGAATAAATACTTTTTTCATACATGTTTTTGAGGAAAATTTTTTTTGAATTTATTAATTATATTTATTTCAAAAAGTATTATTTCTAGCCCATTGCTATTTTGGGTTGAAATGTTCTATGTAATAAATTTTTTATCTATTTATTTTTATGACTGATTTCTCCAGAACTTTAATAAATGGCCAATTAGTCCTTAATATGGATGATTACAGTTGTTTATTGCAGTTCTCATGTGGCAAAATGGGTTGAAAGCATCTGGTCTAAGTTTTAATACCCATGAAATTTTTTTTACCAGGTGTGACCGACTCTATAGAAATATTTATATCTGATCATTCCCTTTATAAATTATGAAGCAGGATCTGAAATCCATGATTGTGATTCATTTTATTCTTGTCACTATATAATTATTATTATTTTGAAATATAAGATTGATAATAAAGCTATTGCTGTTGGATAATTTCCATCCTAACTGCATTTATAACAAAGACAATCAGAGAACCACAATAAGTTTTATAAGTGTTGTGTATAGAGTGTTTAACTGTGTGTTGTAGAATACTTTGTATATTTTTTTGTATTTTTAATATATTGCTTTTATGTTTTTAAAATATTCATGTATGTTTATAACTTTTTTTTCCTAAGAGGTTCTAAAACCAGATATTGACAGATTTCTTGAGGGGAAGTGAATTATTTCCCTTATTTATAAATTTTCCATGTTACAAATCGTTATCAGATAGAATTTTTAGTCAAATTTTAATTTTTCTTTTTTGAAAAGAAAACAATTTTGTATTGGGTCTGCTAAACAGGGATCAAATATACAGCAATTTTCATCATTATCTGCAAGCATGTTATCTGTTTATGACTAGTTTTACTAAGTATCAAAATCTTGTTTCTGTCAAGTGCAATAGTAAATATAATTTTTAATTTCTACACTGTTTTGCAAACATGAAGCTCTGTCCCTCAATATTTTGTCCGAGTGACATTTTATTTGTAGGACATTTTGTCTTAGAAAATCCCAATATTTTGATTGAATATTCTTTTTTTTTGAAAAGCAAAATTATTAAAACAGGGTCGTTAGAAATAAAGAAGTGTTTTTATACAGATGACACTTAAGGACCATTTTATTATTCACCCATAGTTATCATACCTCCCAATTCTGTGTTTTACTGTATTTAGATCTGAGAAGAATGTTTACTTTCAGTATTATATGTTTTAACTGTATAAGATATGTTAATGAGTAATTATAGTTAATAGTATAAAACCTTAGTTTAAACTATTACCTCAATAAACTTTTATCAAATACTTATGTAAAAAAAAGTTTCTTGAGATAACTTGTTAATTAAAACATAAGTAACCCAAAATACTAACACTTGCTTAGTTTTACTTCAAAATTATATGTTGAGGATAGTCTTTAAGGAAGGAACATCCTGATATGAATGACTTACGAATATTGACTTTTTCCATATGTATATAAAAAAAGGAACAGTCTTGTGCATTTCTGATCCTTGGTAATATGTTGATACATACATATTTGTGCTATTGTATTTTTAGAGTATATATCTTCCTTCTAATGTTAATGTAAGTTATGGAGTTTATTTTTTGAATTTTAATACTTTTGTTTAAATATATGCTCTCCATGAATATTCCTTGTTAAAGAATTTATATATTTTATTCGGAAATTTTAAATATTGTTACTCAATACTTTTTTACAAGTCTAGTCTTTTGACACTTGTCTGAATTTTAAATAAATCTTGTTTACTTTGTTGTATATTATTTTATTTCAAAAACATTAATTATCTTTCATCGAACAATTTATGTATTAGGGGGGACTGGGATATAAATGTAATTTCTATGCTATCAGTTCATTAATCGCTTTGAAGTCCTTTTGAAAGGACTTGTTTACTTGTAAATTTTAAAATTTCTTTCGTAGGCTTTTTACGAGGGCAGTAAGCCTACAAAGAAGGTGATTTATCTAAGTCCAAATCTGGTAATTCTGTTCATTCAGACGAGAGACAGACTCCAGAAAAAAATTTATGAACTGAAACCATCCACCAATATGGGGTAATCGATTTTCTAATTATTCCGATAGCTGCACATTTATTTCCTAATTGCTGAAAATTTTAAAAATGTGGATGATGTCTCCTCCAGATATTTTCACAAAATCAATGAAAATTTGCTCACTAGTTGGCAAAAGGTTGTTGATAATTGAATAAAAATATAAATTTGTTGAAAATTTATCTGTTAAAATTTAATGCAAAAAACATTACTATCCGATCCCCCTGATATTTGTAATAGGATGGTGTGAATATGATTTAATAAAGAGAGATTGTGGTCTTCAATACTTGCTAACAGAGAACAGTTCTTAATCTGACCCTGATATTGATTCTGTAACGAAATGAAAAGTTAAAAGGGATTATGAAAATAGCTTGTAATGATAACAGCACGACTTTCCCAGTATATTGTTCAGGCGTTTAGATCTTTTACATATATGTTCTCATCAAACATTTGATTTTGTCAGATTGAATCTATAATACATAATTAATATCCCTTAGCGTACGTACAGCATTTGTGCTTGTCTCATTATTGCCTCTACCAACTCTTTTAGCTATCAATCTTAACATTCAACTAATCAAAACGTTTAGATTTTTTATTAATTATTTTATAAGTTTAATCTCCAAAAAGGTTATACTTGATTCGGAGGGCATCAGTTTTAAATGGTCTGAATTTGATAATTATTGGTGATTCTAAATTTGATACTTTTTAAGCAAAGCACATTTTGGTTCAAAAATTGCAGCTTTAAAAAAAAAAAAAATATCTGAGTAATCTAATTTTGAATTTTTGCAGTTCTTTACAGTCCATTGTGCATACTGTCTGAACTATTAAAAGGGTATACCAAAGTGATTAGATTTTTACATACAATCTGAATGGTTTGGGGGCTAATCTTAAACATACTAATTAATGCGCGTAGATGATATTTTAAGTAACAAAATAGGACTTAAAAATTTATCTCTGAATAAGCATTTTTTTTGTATGTGTGTGTGGACAGATTTGGATTCTTGACCCATAAATCATTTAGTCAGGAAAGCGGTCAAAAGTTTGGACATATTCATATGTATTTTACTTTTGGTCTGTTTTGCCATATCTCTAAAACAATTTAAGGAAATTAAAAAATGTTTACAGACTGTTATAGAACTTGTTCATTCAAATATAAATCTATAAAAAAATTTTATTCATGCATTTCAGCATGAAATATAATTCAAAAGTCATATTTAGATGTTCTATTTTTTTTGGGGTACACATCACTCTGAAACATTCATATAATGAACGCATCCAGAAAAATTAATCATTTTTTTAGTTTTACAAGATGGGGTTCTTCTTATTCAAACAAGTCTGCAATAATTAATTTCCAAATTTAATTTGCATATTAAAAATTAAATAATTTCTAAATTTAATTTGAGTATTTTTATAGAAGTATGAAGGATTGTTTGATTTTACCTTTTTTTAAAAATAATGCAGAATTGACTTATCTTAAAAATCTTCTTTACTACTGAATCTATTCTTATAATGTACAAGCACAATATTTTTCAAAATTGGAGATAGGGGAGAAGGGGGTACAGTGGGTCAGGAGGTACAGTGGGTCAGTGAAGATATTTTTGCTTCAGTAAATTGTTTTCAGATGAAAAAATTTTGTAAAGTAGACACGAAACAACTCTACTCTGTGGAAAAAGGTAAACAGCTCAATTTGATTGTGGAGGGAAGAAAGAACCATTTTATTTTCTGATCCTCTGCAGGAAATTTGAAGTAAGTAAGACTTTTTGTTATTACACTTTAAATTTGTCAATTAAATATGAGTTATGTGGTATGTTTATATAGTCTAACTGATCTCATTTTGTATGATATTTTATTTAAATGAATATTTTAAAGAGCAAGAGTTTGAGGTGAAATATACTAAAATGGTACATGTGGGGCTCACTGGGTCACTTGAAATGGGGTACAGTGGGTCGTTGACCCACTGTACCCCCATTTATATATTCGTTGTCCTTCTTTTAATCTTTTACACTGTAATGTTTAAATTACCTTGATTTAATTTGTATACCAGTTTATTAAATAAAACAGTTTATACATACATTGGTGATACATTTATTAAAATAAACTATTGAAATTCATTTTGTTGACGCTAGTCTGTGGAAATGCAAAAACCTAATAGCTATCTTAAGTATAGTCAACTAAATTAGTATAAATATTTACACTTAAGTAAGAAATAAACCAGGGAATTGTTATTTACCCTGTTTCCAGATCACAATGGTAAGAAACAGAGAACGGAAAACCAACATTGGCATGGTAAACTCCGAAACAATGCGTGAAGCAGTAAAAGCTGTTCTAAAAGACAAGATGCCCATACGTGAAGCTGCTCGAGAATACAATGCCTCCAATACAACTTTACAACGGTATGTGCTGAAAAGTAAAGATGTTAACTGGGATAAGGATTCAAATGCAAAGGACATAATATTTAAACCTAATTATGATGTGCGTAAAATTTTTTCTACAAAAGAAGAACAAATGCTTGCTAACTATTTCATCCAGGCTAGTAAATTACATCATGATCTTCCACCTGAGGAAGCAAAAATTCTTGCCTTTCAATATGCTACCAGCTTAAAGAAAGACATTCCAGAATCTTGGAAAAGAAATCAATGTGCTGGCAGAGACTGGCTGGAAGGGTTTATAAAACGTTCCCAATGTATTTCTTTGCGCAAACCAGAAGCTACATCTTTGGCCAGGTCAATGGGCTTTAATAAACCTGTTGTTATGCAGTTCTACGGCACATTGTATCACTTATTGGAAAACATATTCAATTTAGACGAAACAGGGGTCACTTCTGTTCAAACTCCTGGCAAGGTACTTGCAAAAAAGGGTACAAAGCAAGTAGGGCAAGTGACCAGTGCAGAAAGAGGAGAGTTGGTCACTTTATGTTGTGTCATTAATGCATTAGGAAACTCACTACCACCCTTCTTCATATTTCCGAGAGTGAACTTCCGCAATGCTATGTTGCATGGTGCACCCTTAAGATCTGATGGAGCTGCAACAGTATCTGACTGGATGAACTCAGCTATATTTATATTAGTCATGAAACATTTTATTACATTTTCGAAGTCGTCTCTACAAAATAAAACACTTATAATCATGGACAACCACTACAGCCATGTAAGTATTGAAGTCATAGATTTGGCAAAAGGCAATGGTGTAATTTTGTTGACCCTGCCTCCCCACTGTAGCCACAAGCTACAACCGCTCGACAAAACAGTTTTCGGCCCATTTAAAAAATATTATAATGATGCTTGTCGAGCCTGGTTGTTAAATAACCCCGGAAATCGCATTACTATCCATGAAATCGCAGGTCTTGTTGGAAAGTCATATCCCCTTGCACTCTCTACAAGTAATATCCTGTCTGGTTTTTCATCGACAGGAATTTTTCCTTTTGATAAAAATATCTACAAAGATGAAGATTTTACTGCCTCTAATGTTACAGATGTTCCAATGGAAAATGTCACAGTTGAAGATCAACCTCGTATTTTTCAAGAAGGTACTTCTCTAGCTACATTAGTCCAGCCTAATGTAGAGGCCTCTCTGGAAAATCTTGCAATTCCAGGTCCATCGAGGGCATTTGATAATTTGTTGGATGTAGAACATTCATTGGAAAACATTCCAGCACAAAGTGTGTTACAGGAAAAAGGGAATAAGTCTTCCACAGAATCTTCAGTTCAAGAAAATTTTGCAGGACAAGAAATGACACCAGAGATGGTAAAGCCTTTTCCTAAGGCTGATCCAAAAAAGAAAAAATTGACAAAGCGACAACCTACAAAATCAGAAGTTCTTACAGATACACCAGTGAAAAACAGAATCGAAAATGCAACAATTGAAAAATTAAAAAAGAGAAAAAG